ATATACTGATACATTCATAAGTTTGAAAAAGTCACTCAGGAATGTATTTCCAGCTTTTTTAGCCTCATTATGTTTCTTAGTATTAAAAGATATATAGGGTTCAAGCCAATTAGTCTAGGCTAAGGTGAGTATCTCTAAAACTTCATCTACAACCATACCTAATTTTATATAATATTGAAGCTCTTAGTAATTAATAACATAGTTCTTTTGAAGACCAAGATGGGAAACTAATTTTTCTGTGGCAGAGAAGCGTTTACCATCTAATTGTTCTACAAGTTTAGCATTATAAGGACATAACCAATCTTTTTCTACAATGACATTTTCCACAGCTGGAGGAAATCTGACAAATAGTCATAGGTTTTTAAGGGAAAATGAGAATTAACTTCTACAAAACATCTACGAGACGCATTTGCTGAAATCTGAAGAATTCTATCAAGATACATTTTTTGCTTATCTGATTTTTGAGTAAATATTCCCATCTAGCTCCCCATTGATAATTTCCAATAGACAAGTATTGACTCATAGAATGACCATAAAGATTTGTTACGTCTACATATGAGATATATGTAGTTGGCTGAGATGGGTCATAAGCTTTTTCCATCTTGGAATTATTAGCCTTAAAATATCATTTACAGACCATAGATATATCACCACGTTTAGCTTTTAAGGTAAAATCATGCATGGTTATATCTGTGAAAAGTTCTATCCTAACTCCTGTCATATTAAGTTGAGCATCTCAGGATAGTGATGGAGCAGAAACATAATAACTCAGATCAAGCTCATAATATTCCATAGACATTTTTCGAAACACTGTCCAGATATCAGCTAGGCTTAGTACATCAATTTTAAGATAAAGATCATGATACTCACCTAGATTTTTACATCTGAATGTCTTTTATACTTTATAGGCGTGTTAGTAGCACTAGCCGAAATCATTTCATTCAGCATTAATACCATTTAGTTAACATTCAGCTGATTCAGTCATGTGATTCGGTAAAATTTGGCTTAAGTTACAAAAATCAATAGTTATTTGTTAACCACACATAATTTAGCATTATTTCAGCATTAGATCTTTCGTCAAACATTCAGTCAATTCAGTCATGTGATTCAGTAATTTGTTATATCACGCATTATTTCAGCATTAAGATCTTTCGGTTATAATATTTAGCAAAATTTCAGTTAGACTCAATATTTGGCAACAAATCGACTATATCTCACTAGTCGAAATCTGCTAAGCCAATTTTTGCAAAAATTATAAAAACATTCTGAGAGTAATCATTCCAAAGAGACGATACAATTGTCCCAAAGGAATGATACATTTATTTCCAAAGGAATGATACAATTATCCCCAAAAGAATGATACAATCGTTCCCAAAGGAATGATACAATCGTTCCTAAAGAGATGATAGAAATCATCTCAAAAGAAACGATACAATCATTCAAAGAGACAATAGAAATTGTCCCTAAAGGAACGATACAATCATCCTAAGAGACGTTAGAAATTGTCTCTAAAGGAATAAAATATCGTTCCCAAAGAGACATTAGAAATCATCCCTAAAGGAACAAAATATCGTTTCCAAAGAGATGATAAAAATCGTCCCTAAAGGAATGAAAAATCGTTCCCAAAGAGACAATAGAAATCGTCCCAAAAGGAATGAAATATCATTTCCAAAGAGACAATAGAAATCATCCCTAAAGAAACAAAATATTATTCCCAAAGAGACAATAGAAATCGTCCCTAAAGGAACAAAATATCGTTTCCAAAGAGACATTAGAAATCATTTCTAAAGGAATGATGATTTTTTATCATTTTAAAGGAACAATACATCATCGTTCTTAATGAACTATTTATCATCATTCTTTCAGAATGATGATTTTTATCATTCTTAAGGAACGATACATCATCATTTCGAAAGAACGATATATCATCATTCCGAAAGAATGATTTTTTATCGTTCTTTTGGAATGATGCATCATTGTTCCTTAGAATGATTTTTATCATTCTTTTGGAATGATTAAACTATCATTCCTTTCGAACGATTTTGTCATCATTCGTTAAGAAATGATCAAATTATCGTTCCTTTCGAATGATTTTGTTATCATTTATAAGGAACGATCGAATTATCATTCTTTTAAAACGATTTTCTATATTGTTCTTAAGGAATGATCAAATTATCGTTCCTTTCAAATGATTTTTATATCATTCTTAAGGAACGATCGAATTATCGTTCTTTTAGAACAATTTTCTATATCGTTTTTAAGGAACGATCGAATTATCATTTCTTTAGAATGATTTTTTATATCGTTCTTAATTAATGATCGAATTATCATTCCTTTCGAACGATTTTGTTATCATTCGGTTAATTTTGCAATCAGATGATGCAAAATAATCTATTTGTAGCATTTATGATAAATCGTATTAATTGAAATTTTAGTTTAGTTTACAGTATAAAACTGATAAACTTTCAGAATATTCTGAAAAAATTTATTTCTTCCTTTTT